TATAAATATTATGTTTATATAAATACTATATATACATCAAAGTGTATGCGCATAGGCCGAATTCCAGGACACTCTAATTCCTATTATGGTCAGTGTTGAAATAACCCTTCACAACCAAACTACTTCTCAACACCTTCTGTTACAGAACTGGCCAGAAGCACATCTGACAAAATATGGAAAAATTTGTTGGCACATAATGCATGCCATGTTTAATTATACACATAACTTAAAACTGAACTTACTAATTCATTGATGTAAAGACTGAAGCCTGAAAAGACCACAGTCCATGAAGACGGATTTTGTGCTCAGATTTAACAATACGCTTTCATATTATCTTTTTATGTAAAAAATAATTCAAATAAAAATAAAAATATTTTAAAATCTAAAAGCTTCCTACTAAATTTTCACTGCAATAAATTCCCTAAATCTCAATTTGCACATGATCTGCAATTTTAAAAAAGAAAAAAAACCACCACAACCAAAGCATTCTGTAAAAAGTTTTATAATGAGTTGTTCCATCTTGTTATTTTCTTCAAGTCTTAATTGCGAAATTTCTTCTTCTTCCGATTCCTCTTCCCTGCTGCAAAAGCTGCTTTTTCACTCATGATCTCCTGATACTTCTTTTTATTATATCTGAACAAAATAGATAATTTACTTTTAAGTATGGTAAACCAAAGTTTAGGAAAAAATAACATGGAAAGTACTCTACACTTATAATTTGCCCAACTGAGTTCTCTCGTGTTTTCCGAGTCAGATTTCTTTAATTTTACAAACTTAAGTATAGGTAAAGGGAAATCAATGCTTGGGTTAATAATAAATACAGGTAAATTTGTTTTGGAAGTAGATTTGACTGAAGAATCATTCATTCTGGCATGACCAGGGGGTTCTTCACTGCATATATAATCAAGTTTTGGACAGTTTGCTAAAACACTGCTACTGCTTGTAATGGAAAGACTCATAAATTGCGACAATATTACAGACAAATTATACCCATTTTTATACTGCCTCCTCAGCAAACTCAAGATTACCAACCTTGCTCTAATCAAGACTTAAAAAACAAGATGAGATTAACACTAAGCAATGAAATGGATATACTTACTTAATACAAGTTGCTAGTTCCTCTAATACAGATTCATATGTACCTGTACCAGTTACCACAATGGATCACCGCACACTGAGCAGTACTGAGGCTTTAGTCGCAACACTGAAACCTGACAAGTATCTGCACTAATGCTGAAGGGGTAAGCCTTTAATTATCCACAACATAAGGTAACTGACCAAATCCCAAAGACCTTTATTTTTTAAAACAGCTTTTAATAAATACCTTACAGATCATGTTAAGTCAGAAAACTAGTTAAGAAATAGCTATAGTAACTTGCCTTCCCAACATTAATGATTAATTTAAGAGCCTGATGTTAACCTTATAATCCCAAATCATGTACTACTTCCAAGACAACATGTCACTATGTGAGAAAAGAAGTGCAGAGTAATATCATGTAATGACCAATATCAAAATGGAACAACTAAGGGATCTGTTCTAGAAATTATAGATTAGGCAGACATTAATTAATCTGATATTCATCAGGTAAGACTTACAGAGAAATTTGGATTCTTATGACAGGTAGCAGACTGACGTGCTTATAAAATGAATAACAACTTCCACAGATTTATAGTCAGCACTTTACTATCAATTTTGCCAAGAGAAATTAATCAGTTTTTAAACAACAATAAAAAAGCATTAAAAATGCATGCATAGGCATAAATCACTTAATCAGAGCCCTTGGGTTTTGGTCTAAGCCTGTGCAAACACTTTAAAAGTGAACAACAGGGCTGATATCTCTTCAACACTGTCTCATTCTAATTACGCCATCTCAGTCTAATTATGCCCCGTCCTTTAGATCTTCTCAATGGCAGCGCTACTAAAGTGCTATAAGAGACTCAACAGTTTTCTTTAAGTATAAAAACCCACACATGTAGGCTGAATAAAAGCACCAAAAAAGTTATATAGTCAAAAATGCTCCTCTCTTACATACGATATCAGAATTACAAAACTGTTTTTAAATACCTTCTGAACTCAGAATCCGCAAGCAGCTCCTCAACAATTGTTCTCTTCCTTTGTTTCTTAGGGATTCGACTATGGTAAAAATCTATAGGTGAATCAACCACAGTTCCAATCTAGAAAACAGAAATTAAATCATTCTTACTGTACAGCAAGATATTATTTTGCCTTTCCTTTGTGGTTTTTTAAATCCTCAGCAACAAGTATAAATATACCTACAGAGATTATCAGAACTGTATCTTAAGAAAGCACAAAGCACTGAAAGAATTAAACAGTGTTGCACACACCATCACTTTTTCTCTCACTGTTCAACGCACACAGGAGGGCCTGAGCTTTAAGACTATACAATTGTCAACACTGGACTGCTGCATCCAGTTCTTGCCTTGTAAAGATTTCCCAAGGAAAGGAAACCCTTATGACCATCATAATACTTTCCTGTCTCTGTCATTGCGGTGGTTTTGCTGCACAGCTACACAGCAGTAAATCCAGCTCTAATACAAGGGCTTCATCCTGGCCTGCACCACATTTTTTCCAATCGGCACGTTAGCCAGTTCTGAGGATTCAGGTTAGTAGCGGAGATACACGGAGTATATGTTTCATGTAGTGAAACAGACCTGTGCAGATCTCACTGTGTGGAACACTTCCATCTCTCTTTTTTCTCCTCCCAGAAACTTCAAAATATAGAAGACCCATCCTTTAGAGTGAAGTGCTAGTATTTTGAGAAATGAACCCAAATTTCCTCAAGCAGACTAACTATCAAACAGGCGTAAGTAGCCTATTTCTATCGTTTCTGCAGTAATTATTTTCTTTATGCAAAACGCTTCAAAGCTGAGAGCTACAGCAGCAGAAATTCTGGCTGATCACAAAGCTAGCTGTTTCCATTCAAACTGTATTAGCTAGTAAGAAAACAAATGCTAATTATTTTCTACGTATTTGTTAAAAAAAAGACTAATACTTTAAAACAAAATTGTCCGCTGAGGGTTCAGAATACAGATTAGGTCAGATGTTTGTTTACTACTACGATGTCAGATGCAACTGAAAAGCCCCAGCATGTACACATAGGTAATACAGAGTTCAGCAGTTGTAAACTGCAGCCAAGTAATCAAAAGACTTGAAACTATGAAATTAAATCAACATAGAGGCTACCTACAAAACAGACAGGGAATAAGAACACCTATTCAAAACTTCAGCAGTACAATGCCATTTTCTGCTGCTTCCTTACCTGGAAGTACTTGGGTAGACCATCTCTATCATTCTTCTTATAAAAACGCTTAGGGTCCAATGAAGCTCTCATCTTCAAAACTTTAAGATCATTTTTCAGTTCACTTGTGATTTCTGGAGCTTTCATACCAAACCAACCATCACCTGTTGTTTTCTCTCGCTCTGCCTAGGATGCAATACCAAGAATAATAAATTTGCATTCAGCAACTAGGACAGGATAGAACAGGGAGTTCTCCCATCCAAAAGATGGACAAACCATTTAGAATGCAACTCTGTACCTTTAAAAAGTGCATTTTATGACCCTTATAATAAGAAGGTCCACAGTAAAGTACCAATTAATGTACCATTTGGGTGCACTACCTTTCACTTCACTTCACTGTCCTGGTGATTGAAAGGTCGGCCTTCACAAGACAGCTCAAGGAAGACACTAAACTGCACTTCAACACTCCACTTCCAGCGAGGCTGGTACACACCCGCAGTCCCACTGTGGGGCTTTATACCAAAGTTTGTTTTGCTATTTGAGGCATCATCAGCTCTTTACTTACCCTGCGCTGTTTCTTTAGCTGGTGAAGCGATTCCCTGAAGGGTGGGACACATTCCTTTTTTTCAAAATCTGGAGTTATTATACTCTTCTGCAAGAGCTGTAAGAATTTTCTTTTAACATTACAGTCATTCCATGATCCAAACTTTACTGCTTAACCATATTTACAGAATCTACTAAAGGAATCATGCAGAATCTAAGCAAGCATTATAACTTAGTACTCGAGCTTCTTTGATCCACAATGAGAAGTGATCTTCAAAACAGAACCCTGATCAACAACACAAAGCAGCTGGCTATCTCTGGAAGAAGCGAGATAGCAAATGCTCTACTATAGGATGCGCCTAAGAAACAACTCAAAGAAAAAACACGTTCCTTTTATCTCAAAGTGTGCTTTTGAAATAGAACTGCTAATTCTGTCTTAAGGGGAGTACAGATCCTTATTTACTGAGATTCATTCTGGTTATAGACTAAGTATGTTGCTAGCAGACCTTCAGCTCATGTATCATTAGGCAAAACTGCAGCTTAGTCAACTTTGTTTTCAAGACAATGCTGGCAATTTGCACTGCTTTTCAGTTACTGTCACAATTCTTACCATTAAAACTAAATGCAAATCCACACTTTGGCCAAAAAGAACAGAAATTTCCAGCAAATCATAAAACAGGTTACTTGTTTAAAAACAAATAAACCAACTTTATTAAATTAACATCTTTGTGCTACTGTCATCACAGGTAACTGAATATTTGAAAACACATTACCTGATCTTTCTTTTTCTCCTTCATTTGTTGAATTACACTTGATCCAGACTGCTGTTTTTTTGTATCAAAGCTAATATATAAACCTCCAAGTTTCTTGATATTCAAACCTGGGTCTATGCTGCTGGAAAGACGTAAACTAAAAGAGAAATGGTTCATGATGAGATTATAACAAGCATGCAGCTAAACGATCTACTGTCCTCTGAGAAAGAAAACCAGAAAGAGTATTTTTCTTCCCACTTGGGTTCAGTTCTGCAATTATTTTAAGTCTCAGCATCTAGAAGAAATACAGTTTAGAAGTGACAGAAGATGAAGGGAAAAAACATTCCATTATATCAAGTGAGAGTTTATTAAAGAACAATACCTGTGAAATCACTTCCACAAATCTTTCATTCTTAAAAATTAAATGCTGCATTCTTATTTTAGATATTGCTATCTTCCATAAAATTGAATTCTTAATTCTCTTAACTTTGCCAGGAGAACTCATGATCAACACCCTTCTTCTATACGTTGAGAATCCATGCAGCCCCACTTCCCATATCAATACGACATAAGTAATAAGACTACTCCTTCATCTAGTCCTTAATATTTAGCACTCAAGGTACATAACCTATGCATAGTCTTGAACAAATCAGGTTCTTTATGTACTCCCAGAATGATACTTACATGTCATTCTTATTTTTCAACAAATCATCATCTTCGTCTTTCTCATCTTCATCTATCAAATCCTCGTCAGCCTCTTCCAGATCTGAGGATTCTTCACCTTTTTCACTTCCTTCATGCTTACTTTCAGCATCACTATCTTGGTCTACCTCATCTATGTAATACTTCTGGTTAGAACTCATGCCAGGCTCGGTATCAATTGCAAAAAGCCCTTCAGCATGCAGAGAACTGTTCGTTAAGCATTTGTTGAGAGAAGGAATCATCTCATCTCCCTCTTCACAACACAGATTGTCTTCACCTGTATCTATGTCCACCACATCACTAATTTCAGATTCATCATCTTCATCTTTGCTTAGAAACAATGCCACAGAATCATTTCCACGGCTGGATCTTTCACTGCTGTGGGACACAGATTCAGCACATTTTCCTATTTGTTCTTCACTGTCTACATCAACTTTAAGCATCCTGCATCTACCAATGCTACCTGTCCTTTGTGCAACATCTATGGCTTTTTGTGGGCCATTCACTGCACTACCTTTATCAGCATGGGTGAAAGATTGCTGTGCATCTGCTCTTTTGCATTCTGGATTTTTTTTACTTTCATTTGGTGCTATTTTCCCTTGAGATTCTAAAGACTGTTTAGAACTCATGCAATCACTCAAAGAAAGATCCATACGCTCTAATTCACCCCCCCTCACAAGTATCTGGCCACCTACTTCCTCTGAATGACCTACCCCAAAAGACTGTATATTTTTAACTGCTTTTTTCCCTTGTGATTCAGTGTTACTGTGTTTCATTTTTGTAAGACTGCTGGGCATTACATCTTCTTCTCCCACATCTTCACTCCAGCTTTTACTGGCAGATTTGGAAGATCGTTTGCTTTTAGGTGAATTGGGTTCTTTATTATCCTCAGTGACAGAGGAAGCATCTTCTGTGTCAGAGACAAGTTCTGCAGCAGGTCTAGAATCAGAAATTATTACTGGCTCGGATTTAACAGTGTCCTCCATTAAATTCTCATCTTCTGAAACAATTCTGTTTCCCTTCTCGGTCTGCTTAGTATTTTCTACTTGTGATTTCATTTGCATGCTCCTAGTAATTCGTTTGGTAGTGATGGATGGTTCCATATGGGAACTCAAGCAGCACAACTCTGCATCAGAAACATCTTCAGTCTGGGCTTCATGAACCATATGTGGCTGCAATTTCCTTTTACTCTGCCTGCCTCTTGTAGTTCTGGTAACACTAGGCATCTGGACACCAGAAACAGCAGAGGAACAAGACTCAGCTTCAGAGACATCATCTTCATCCAGAATCCCACTCAACTTATTTAGAAAAGGTGTCTTGTCATGTCTTTTTTTGTCAGAATTCAGCTGATAAGGAACTACAATTTGTCGTCTTCTTGTTACTCTTACAAACAAAGGTGTTTGAAGACCAGACACCGAAGAGCAGTTTGACTCTGTTTCTGACACATCCCCATCACCCTGTGGTTCAGCAACCGACTGTGCTGTGTTCTCATTCCTAGTAACTTGCACCTCTAAGCTACCACTGACATCTGACTTTGTTTCTTCCTGTTCCAGCTCTTCAGACGGAGACTCCTGAATCACCTCTGGTTTACAAATCGATTTTGTTCTTCTAGTCATCCTCACAGACACAGGAGTACTAATTTCAGCAGATGCAACCTAGAAAAGCAGTACAAGAAAGTGTGTTGTTGACAGTTAAAATGCTACGCAAATCACTAACCACCTTATAAAATAAGTCTACTCAACCTGACAAGGTATTCCATGTTTCTGTATAGCCCTATCTATGTAAAAGAGGTGCTTATCTGTTTTTCTACTGTCTTTTGGTCAAGGCGGGAGAGAAACATACACATTCATTAAAAAATATAAACAAACACATTAAAAATATAAATAAATACCTTCTAATTCTAATAAGTTCTGGCAAGCTGTCATGGGAAGCAAATCCAGAAGCGATGTTTACAAACATTCAAACATTTTCTCGGCAATAAAACATGAAGCCTAGCAAATGTCAGAACATGCCCCCAAAATGGTTTCCACAGCCAATTTTAGCAGTTTTAGGATCAGACTGGCCTCGCAGCAACCACGATCTTAGGTATAATCTGCTTCTTTATCGACTGCTGGACAGGAATTCA